ACATAGTGATGTAGATATGTGGGGGCATGTTAGAACGAGCCGTTTTAGGTAGGAGTGGCTGACTCTTAACTTTTATAAAGAATATCTCTTTGGATTTGAGACTTTAGTCTTTGCAACTTTACAGATCTTCTTTATGCACCAAGAGCTTGTAACACTCCAAAGAGAAAGAAAAAATTGAAATCGCATCATATGACCCCTAATCTATATAGCATTATGAAAAACAACAGCCTGCATATTTAACAATAGGGAACAATCTATTCCCTTAACAAATGATCTATTATAAAATCTAGAAGTTTTTAACAAAATTTACCACAATAAATAAGCCTACAATAGGATACTTCACCAAAAATGGGAATTTTCTTTTCATTTACTATCTCTATGAGTGCATATAATGCAAGGGGATAATAACTCAAAAGTTGATGCTCAAAAGTCACACAAAGCGATCAGGACGGTAATCCATTTAACCCCCAGTGGATGAATCAAAGTCTTCTGAAGCAAAACCAGGTGTGTGTGAAACAAATACTAATATGCTTAAGGTTACTGTTCACTTGCATTATATGCACTCGCAAAGATGGATTATTTTTCTAAAAACATTTGTGTTCATCTGAAGAAAGAAGGTTATATACATCTTGGTATCCCTTTAAATATCCATCTAAGCACTTTTTGGGTGCAGTATCCCTTTCAATATTTCTTATAGTGTAAGATTGTGGTCTCAGATGACCAAGTATATGATGGCAGCAAATGATTACCATGGGCTCTGTATTACAATTATATAAAATATCATGGTTTGTACTTTGTAGCACAACCAAACTGCAGATTCATTTGAAGTTTACATCTTTGAAATATTCAGCTAAATATTTGAATGTTATGTTGGCGTGAGAACAAACATATCAAGCTGAAACACTTCACTGATTCTATTCCTAAATACAAAACAAACAACAAAACATGTCACAAGAAATTATAAGCATGTATAGGTGCAAATCTATGCATAAAAAATTATTAAAACTAGAAAACTCACCAGGAGTGTGTGTGTGAACCTACTGACCTCATAGCAGCTTTCAAGACATAAAGCGTTTCAAGACAAAGCATGGCTTTGGTTTTTCAGATGTTTTAAATATTTGACAAGATATGTGCAGACAAGAAGTACAAGTAGTAATAGTATAAACAGGTTTAATTTTTAACATTTATTATATATAATGTATTAACTACAAGTTACATTTATAGTTCACCCAACATGGAAATTAATGTAGGCCTCCTCATCCAGTTTTTCCTTCTGCTGAACACAAAAGAATATATATGAAAAATGTGTAGAATATAATCAGATAGTTTCTGGTCACCATTGATATCCATGTTTTTTAGTGTTTTTGTATAGAAGTCAATGGGGACCAGCAACTGTTTGATTACACATTTCTGAAAGATATCTTCCTCTTGAGTGCACTGGCCCTTTAATAATGTCTCTATCAACAGAACAATGTAGTGATCTTCAGTAAATTATTTCAAAGTAGAAATGTTGCTATTTTATAAACTAATGGAGGGTGTGGGTCGTGTTTTGCCTGTCGCAAGAATCATGGATTTCAGCGCTATTTTACACAAAGTTATGTCCCCTCCCTAACCATCCCCCCTCACTCTCACTCTCAGCCCACATCGCGCTCACATTTCTGTTTCCTGGACCCTCCCCCACCCCTCTGCGTCCGCTGGAGCAATGAGCCTTGATATGATTGGCTCCCGTCCAAGCGGAGCCTGCGCTGATTGGCTGCCTCACCGCTCACACGGCCCTGATTGGTCACATTTTCGTTGCATGTTTTACCCGAATCCCGGGTACATTCAGGGACTTTAGCCTTCGAAGCGGGTGATGCAAGGTTTGTGATTGTTTTGTTTTTCTCTTTGAGCTGGGTGTGTGCTTGTCAGTAGAGGCCAAACCGCGCTGATAGAGCCCTGTTTTCACATGCTCTTTTTATTTCTGTCAGGCAGATGAAGGCGCCTGTGGAGCGGCTTTGGAGGGGCTGGCTTTCTTAGCTAACACACTTGCATTTAAGGGCACTTAGTTGTCAACACCGTGGCAGAATTCGGGTTACTGTGAGTAAGTGCGTTCACAGGCACTTGATATGATATATTCATCAGTATTCCTTAATTAGCGGTGAGATACTAGGAATGCGTTTCCTGAGGACATGGTCAATAAAATCCCGACAATAGCTTTAAAAGTTTAGGGATGTTTTTAGGGATTTAGTGGTGGAGATGCAACACATCCAGCCATGCATTAAATACGTGAATTATATATATATATATATATATATATATATATATATATA